CGGACCTGGAGGCGCCCGGCGGCCCAGGCTGCAGCCACGCGCGCCCTTGCGCTCCCCACAGCCTCATTTCCCTCTTACGAGATCCACCTATACAAATGATTTTCTTCTCAGCCCGTCAACGGGTGCACGTTTTAATCTGCTCAACACCAGCTGAATATTTAACTCCTGTCGTCGGAGAGTGGTCTGATTTTTCAACAATACCATATTTAAGTTTCAGGAAGTTTCAGATTGTACCTAGGGGTCAATGCAGCACTCCGTGTGAATGTGAGGAGCAACCCCAGGAGCCGGTCCTGGACCCTCCCAGGCAGAGGTGGCCACTTCCGCCTGGGCTCCACCTTTGTACCTTGTACCATGGCTCCCTTCGTATTCATCTGTTTACATGCCCGCCTTTCCCACTGGGCCGCCAGCTCTGACAGCAGAGGCCGTATTTTATTTATCTGAGTATCCTTGTCTAGCACCGTGTCTGGGTCTTAAGGGGACTCAAACATTTGATACGTGAACATAGTGAATTTAACAAATTTAACAGGACCCGTGTGTCGCAATCCCCTACGTATCACAAATCTCTGCTTATTTAAACTCCTCTTTATCTACTCTTTTCATTTACTGTTGGGTTTCTCCAAATAAAAAACATATGTCGGCATGCATCCAGCACCTAAAATCCCACCTCCAGTGTCCAAGCCCTGCCTCTGTCACCACCATGACTCCTCAGGTGTGGCAGAGAGGGTGGGGTAGCAGCCAGGAGTGGCACTGAAGAGAAACAAGTTCTCAGTGTCAGGCACCTCAGTGGCCTTGGGCAAAAACATCAAAGGGGTTGGGGATGGGGTCACATCTTACCTTGTGCCTCCAAAGATTTCTTCTGGATCTCTTATTTTTTTCCCATTAATTTAATATAAAATAAGTGGCAAATACTTAGCAATGTTTAAAATTTCAAATTTAGTCCTCTGTATTTTAAGTTTGGTGTCCTCAATAGAAACAGAATACTATTTTGTCTTACTCAATTCTCTGGCAATTTTTGAGGATGAATAAAGTGAAAGTACTGAGAAAGTTAGTGTCAGAAACCACATGAAATAATTTCCCCAGCCTTCATTTTACATAAACTAAGTTCGCACATTTTCATTAGAGGCAAATATTTTCACTTTCAAAGAATAACACAAGGGTTAGTCTGGTGAGAGTTAACTGCATACAGTGGAGATTGTGTAAAGAAAATATGCTCTCTGGATTTTCAAAAGTAATGAAAATGTTTGTTAAATTAGCTGTGTATAATTATAAGAAAAACATTGTATTCTTACAAAACAAAGAGTCTTGATTATGTACAAAGTGATTTCAGACAAAATGAGAGTTTTGTTGGTGTCTTAATATCTCTGAATAATTTTGGACTAGATATAACTTCCAGTAGATTTGAGGGAAAATGCTCGTTAATGCTGAAGGAAAGTAGTTCTTCAGAATTTCTGGAAGAGACTAAATCAACCCAGGTTAGGTTCCAACAATAATGTACCTAACACATGACTCATAGACTCTGGAACCAGATAGCTCAGGTTCTGGTCCTTTCTCATACTAACTGTGTGATATTGGTCCACTTAATTTCTTTGTGCCTCAGTTTCCTCATCTATAAAATAGATAGTGCTCACCCCATAGTGTTGTAATAAGTATTTTAAAAAGCTAGTATTTGTAAAGTGCTCAAGATAATGCCTGCACATAGTAAGCCTCAACATAAGGATTAATAATAATTTTCACATAGGTTTCCCACTTTAATAGGATTAGAAAGGGGACTTTTCATGTTTACAAGGAGCAAAGTCTATATATGAATACTAACTGAAAAACATTAAGTTATCTTAGACACTGTAATCATTTATCTAGCCATATTCCTGAAATGATGGGTTATGGTGGATAGTAAACAGTTAAATAGCTCTCCCTGCTGGATAATATAGGGATTGCAGAGCACTTGACAAACATAAATTGTACCTGCAAAGTTTTTATTTTTATAAATTTTGAAGTTTTACGCTTATAAAAGAAAATAATATTATAAAAACATATAAATATATAATTTCAGAATAAAAATTTATAGTTGCTTTAGTCTATCCAGAGAAAGTAATAGTAATAATAATAGTAACATTTGCTGGTAGTTTACTATGTGCCAGTAAGTGTTTCATACCCATCTAGTGAGGTGTGTACTACTTTCACTGTCATATAGATGAGAAGTTTGGGGAATGGTAAAGTTAAGTAGCTTGTTCAAGACTGCGCAGTGTCTGACTTGCAAAGGCACACTCCAGTGTAGACAGTCTGACACCAGAGACAGTGCTATTTACAATAACTCCTCATAATAGTTTGGAATATAGTTCTCCAAAATTCTCCTTCTTTCTCTCCTTCTTCTTTCCTTCACCAACATCCCACCCACAACAGTATTCTTCCAAACTGTAATGGAGTTATGCTCATGTAAGCTTCTGTGGTCTCACTAGTAAACCAACATGACAGGAGTGTGATAAAACAGGTGACAGAATAAGCACTGAACAGAACTCAGGCAACCTGAGTTCTAGTTCTCACTGACCCTGTGTTCCCCCTCTAACCCTTGTCCAATCTCTTTTTCTCCCCTGCTCAGGCAAATGTCTAATTATCTCTACTCTCTCACCCCTGTTTCCTTCCTCAGGCAAATGTAATCTCTCTTCTACCCAGTGATGTGATGGGAAAAGTTTAAACAGTTAACTTTGTGAAGAAAAAAAAAAAATCGGTTTATAGCATTTGCCAATTTCCATGGTGTAAATACTTCCCCATGGCTGATTTCCAGCTACTAACTTACTGTCACTGAACACAGAGTTTGGAAGAAATATCTCTCAAGCTGGTAGGAGCACACCACTGCGTTTACTCCCATATCCTATGAAAACTGCTCTATTTTTCAAAGGTCACCAGTAAGCTCATATTTGCCAAATTTAATGGATATCATTGGACTCTTTGATAATTGGATGTCTCCCTTCGTGAAACTTTCTACATTATTGGCTTCTTTAAAGATGTTAAACCCAGTGCCTAAAGACCACCAGGAACACACCTATAGTCAACTAAAGTTGGATTTATTAACTCACTGCAGCAAGGAAGACTGCAAACCACGGTACACTCTGGAGGATGTCTCAGTGAGAGAGCGTCAGGAGAACCTAGCAATACAATTTAGGCTTATATTAGGTGAAGTTGGAGACGGTTCAAGGAAGTGGGTGTTTTTTTTGAGTTATATCATATTGGGAAGACCAATATCATATTTTGTGGTTGCTTGGTATTTTTGTTTTTTCTGTATTTAGATCTGATTATGGAATAGTTTTGTTTTTTGTCTTGTTCTGTCACAATCACAGAGTGACCTTGTCTGATCTTCATACTCTGTGAAATTATTTATGCTTATATTGAACCATCATGGCCTAGCTTTTGGTTGCTGGGTCAACTATCAACTGTCAGGAATTGCTGGGGTTTTTTTGTTTTTTATTCCCTTTCTCATTAGTTCTCCAGTGTTGGATTTTCTGGGTTTCTATTTTTGTACAACTCTTTTGTTCATTCTATACACTTTCTTTGTATTACACCATCCATTTTCATGACTTCAACCCCTACTTATGTACTCATGACTTGCAAACATATGTGTCTTTAGCCCACACTTTTTCTCCATGCTTCAAACTTTTATATCCAACTTCCAGCAAGATGGCAGCACCTGAATTCTCTCTCAAACCCTTTAACCTCAGTCACTATAGAGTTCAAATTGCCCTCTCTTCTCCTAAACCATTATCTTCTTTCTGTAGCCTCAATAAAACCTCCAGAATCTTAGTCAACAAAATTGAAACTCTAAGATCATCCTTGGCTTTTTTTTTCTTATATCCAGTTTAAATCCAGTAATTGAAAGTTCTGCCGCCTACCCTACTTTCAAAATATTTCTACAATGCAGACTCTCTGCTCCATTCCTGCCATTCCCGCTCTGGTTCATTTGCGTTAACTGCCCGGCTGTCTCCTAACTGTTCTCCTTGTCTCCCTTTCTCCCAAATCCATCTTGCACAAGACTACTAAGATGATCCAGCTAAGCGTGCATCTGACCCTGTCACTCTCCTTCATGTACCCTCACTGATCTTCATCACCATCTACCATGTAGAGTGAGATTCCTAAAAGAGACACAAATTCCTCCAAGGGCAGGCCCCTGTTAGCCTCTTCAGTCTCTTGTAACCTCCGCTTGCCTTACACTTTCCAGTCTTTTTTTTTTTTCTCTCACATGCACAACACTGTTTGCCTACCTGCCTTT